CTTATTCTTTTATATATTTTAATATGTACAGGTCAGAATAAGCATGTTGTATGAATTTTTACATAAATATTGTGTCACACTGAATGACAATGTAACATTATTTCAAAAAATTTTGACATTTTATTCTCCAAAAACTTATTTGAAAACTTACAAGTAGACACTTTACGTACATTTAATGTGCTTTCTATGGACATAAAATCACTTTTGTAAATTTCTTTTGATGCGGACATCTAACGGCTTTGTCCCAAATACTTAAATTAATATTCATATTAATAAAATACCTGTGTCATACCTTATTTAAAAATTCTGCGAACATGTAAACTGCACAAGAGACTCAAAATGAACTTTGATAGAGTTTGTTGTTGCTAAACTATCAATGCAACACACAAATAGTACCAAACTCGGATTCGTAACAAGCAATCAAACCCTTAAAACAGCCTTGAAGTGAAAAACTGAGCCCTTTCTTTCTCTCTTTTCAACTGTTGCTCATCGTCTGCTCTGCCTTCAGCATGTCATACCTTTAAAATGAATCTGTCTGTCGGCGTCTCAGTAAAACACTGTTGTGTGGATGAGCGTCATGCATCAGCTCATCAACACAGGACACGTCTATACCGTCAGACCCCGACAGAGACTCAATATTACTGTTACCATAGAAAACTGGAGAGTATGCATCACATTTACACGTGATACTGCTGCAACTGCATGCATAAAATATTAACAACATGTTGAGTGAGGCATTGAAATTGACAAAACATGTCCAGGTCTTATTTCACATCAAAATGTTGTTTGTTTTTTAAAGGTGAGTCCTGTTACTGCAATACAGGGTTTTTAGTGAACATAATTTGCACACAAATCAGAAATAAAGGCAGTACAAATACTACCATGATGCATAAATACTAAACAAAATATTAAAAAAATTTCTTGCATTGTAGCAATGAGATGTACAAATACTTCAACCTACATTTTTTAAACTTTACGAATATCTAAATAAAATAGCACGTTTCTTTTAAATTGCAGTAATGAGATGTTAGGTTAAAGTATCTCTCTACTGAGAGTATGCATCACATTTACACGTGATACTGCTGCAACTGCATGCATAAAATATTAACAACATGTTGAGTGAGGCATTGAAATTGACAAAACATGTCCAGGTCTTATTTCACATCAAAATGTTGTTTGTTTTTTAAAGGTGAGTCCTGTTACTGCAATACAGGGTTTTTAGTGAACATAATTTACACACAAATCAGAAATAAAGGCAGTACAAATACTACCATGATGCATAAATACTAAACAAAATATTTAAAAAATTTCTTGCATTGTAGCAATGAGATGTACAAATACTTCAACCTACATTTTTTAAACTTTACAAATATCTAAATAAAATAGCACTTTTAAATTGCAGTAATGAGATGTTAGGTTAAAGTATCTCTCTACTGCAATGCAAGAAAAACAGCAATATTTTCTAACCCTAAGTTTAAAAAAGCAAGGTTGAAGTATTTATACTTTTTAAACTTGTAAACGTTACTAATATTTAAATAAAATATCACAATTTTGTCTTGCATTGTAGTCATGTGATGTATCAATACTTTACCTTTACTTTTATAAATTTGTAAACTTTATGAATATTTAAATAGACTATGGCAATTTTTCTTGCATTACAGTAATGAGATGTAAAAATCCTTCACCTTTACTTTTGTATAGCTTGCAAACTTTACAACTTTTTTTTTTTTAAGTATTTTTCTTGCATTTCAGTAATGAAACAAATACTGCATCCTTTTTTAAACCTGTACATTTTACAAATATTGAAATAAAATATCAATTTTTTTTTCTTGCATTGCAGTAATGAGATGTATAAATTCTTTAACCTTACTTTTTAAAACTGGTAAACTTTACCGATATTTAAACAAAATAATATCTTAGAAAAAGTCCTTAAGTAGGACTCATTTCTTATTATATTGATATAATAAGACATGTTTTGCGTCTCTTGTATCTCGTATCTCTCATATTACTTCCATTCTGTTCTCTCTCTTTTTCATTATCCCTTTCTTCTGCTGATTTAGAGTGAACTATGACCCGGACGTGTTTTTAACGAGTTTCACAGCTTTACCTTTGAGCACTGCTTGTGATTCTGACACCAAACCAATGATCCATTGCTCTGAAAAGAGAGAAAAGACATCCTAAAACACTGGAAATCACATCAGATATGAAACATTCACTCAAACAGGTAAATGATTAGAAAAGTAAAAGCAGAAAAAAACAAAAGTTTGAATGATTTTAGTAAATCAGTTCAAACTGTTCATTTCAGTGAATCGATTCAAAACACTGATTCAAAGATTCATTTGCACCATCACTCAAAAAATTGCTTGAATAAAAATTTTCCTTTAAGCTGTTTGTTTCAGTGAATCGATTCACAACACCGATTCAAAGATTTGCTTGCACCATCACTCAAAAAAATTGCTTGAATAAAAATATTCCTTTAAACTGTTTGTTTCAGTGAATCGATTCAAAACACTGATTCAAAGACTCATTTGCACAATCACTCAAAAAAACTGCTTCAATAAAAATGTTCCTTTAAACTGTTTGTTTCAGTGAATCGATTCAAAACACTGATTCAAAGACTCATTTGCACAATCACTCAAAAAAACTGCTTCAATAAAAATGTTCCTTTAAACTGTTTGTTTCAGGGAATCGATTCAAAACACTGTTTCAAAGATTCATTTGTACCATCATTACAAAAAATGGTGCTCGACTAAAAATGTTCCAGTAAACTATTTGTTTCAATGTATCGATTCACAACACTGATTCAAAGATTCATTTGCACCATCAATAAAAATGTTTAATTAAACTCTTTGTTTCAGCGAATTGATTCAAAACACTGATTCAAAGATTCTTTTGAATCGTCACTCAAATGGTGCCAGACTAAAAATGTTCTATTAAACCGTTCCAGTGAATTAATCCAAAACACACATCTAAGATTTGTTTGCACATCACTCAAAAATGGACTAAAAGTGTTCCATTAAACTGTATGTATCAGTGAATTGATTCAAAACAAAGAATCAAAGGTTCATTTGCACCATCACTCAAAAACAAGGTGCTTGACTAAAAATGTTCCACTAAACTATTTGTTCCACTGAATTGATTCAAAACACTAATTCAAAGATTCATGTGCACCATAACTCGGTGCCAGAATAAAAACATTGCTTTAAACTTAGTTCCAGTGAATCGATTCAAAACACAGATTCCAAGATTCGTTTACTCAGAACACGGAGTAAAATGTACCGTTAACTACAGTTTCAAATGAATCGTGCCTTTGTTCCTTTTTCCACAAGCATCTGAACAGGCAAACTTCACGAGTCTGTAAACCAAAAGTCTGCTTAATTTCAATGTCAAGTTCAAAGGAATCTGGAACAATGTAATCCAGTGGAAATTCCCCGTGAAACCTTGGAAAAGAACTTATCATTAAAGGACTTAATTTGCCATCCAGTCCCGCAGGGTGTTGTGCACTCGATGTCAAGGATAACGGTCCAGCAGCTTCAAAGCCAGGAAGAGCCTCGAATGCAGAACATGTGCATTGTTGAAGACGTTTGCGATGCTTTAATGGAACGATAGCGTGTGTCTTCAATCAGAGACATAAAAGCAGTTTCAGCTGCTCTACCGGATCAGATATGATAATTGGATCATCTTTACGTGACTGTAAATCAAACATTATTAGCTGCACCTCATGAGCTGCAGGAGCTTTGAACCAAAACAAATCATTTTACAGAACATAATGAGCTGCCTAATGCCTACATGGTAGGGCAATTAATCGTAATAAAACCGAAATCGTGATAAGGTTGTGATTTAATTAAATAAATATGTGCACGTTGTGTTTCGGAGTGAACTCAACATGCGGCAAACATTTTCCCGTTCTTGTAATGAGAAGCATTTATCAACAAGAGAGCAGCTTTTAAGGGACTCTCTGTGGATTTCTGTCAAAATAAAAGTTTGATGGTTCACCACTTGAAAATAAAGAAATTAAGATAATATAATAATAAATATTAGTATTGCAATTTACAATTGTAATATAAAATAAAATTATTATCATTATTATTATTATTTCTTAAATACTCAATATTACAATAGTAATATTTCTTATTTTGTTTTTATTTTATAATGTTTATATTTGTATTTAGTAGTAGTAATTATTATTATTATTATTATTATTATTATTATTATTATTATTATTATTATTATTATTATTATTATTATTATTATTATTATTATTATTATTATTATTATTATTATTATTATTATTATTATTATTATTATCATATATTAATCACAAAATGTTGGACAAATTGTGCAGCCCTACAAACAAACACTGCAAACCTGTATTTTATTTTATTTTATTTTATTATTATTTTTTTTTTATTTCATTATTTCATTTCATTATTTCATTTCATTTTTGTTTTGTTTTATTTTATTTTTTCATTTCATTATTTCATTATTTTATTTTATTTTTTCATTTCATTTCATTTTAATTTCATTTAATTTCATTATTTCATTATTTCATTTCATTTCATTTCATTATTTTATTTTATTTTATTTTATTTTTTC